AAAAAAAAAAAAGGGAACACTACCTAGCTTAGGGCATCCCCACACCACTCTCCAAATTTGCAAATTGGAAATGAACTTCCCTCTAGAACATGGCCAGATGCACCGGCCACATTTTTGTCTTTTTCACATTTCGAGAGTGGTGTGGCGAAGCCCTCAGGTGCAGGCGATGGGGTGTGTCCAGGCAACCAGAAATGGCCTAAACTGGGCGGCTGTCCTGACATACCGCATCCCTGGGAAATAAATCTTCAACAATGCCTACAAAGCCTCACAATTCAAAATGCTATCTAAAAGAAAAAACTGGAAAGAGAGACATGACCTCAAAATGAGGTCCCATCCCAGCCCAAAACAACCTACACAGACCTGAAAAACAAAACAACAGTACCTATAAGAACCCACCCTAATTGGTTTAAAAAAAAAAAAAAAAAAAAAAAAAAAAAAAACGACAAGTCCAACGCCTATATCGATCCCGTACTCTCAAAAACACTAACCAAAACACTACGCCATTTCTAGAGCCACCTACATCGGTGGCGGGAGCCCGCAGGGTCCCCAATCTCATTACGGGCCTCGTTAGACCCTCCTTGGAAAATCCTCAGGAATTAGGATGAACTCCTTGGAAAATTTTACGTTTTTTGGCGGCGGCGTTACACCGCGTCCTAATCGAATGGGTCCCAAGCAGAACCCTTGGAGGCCTCCGGCGGCCAATTTCATACGCATATACTCGGCCGCGGGGGTGGATGTCCGTCATCGTGGTGGGCTGTCCGTCCGTCCTTAGGTGTGGTCCAGTGGCGGCGGCAGGGAGGCCTTCCGGGCTGCGAAGAGAAAAATCGGCGCGAAAATCCCTTTTGAAATTTCAAATTTCAAACCCTTGGCCGATACGCATCGACACACCATGGCGTGTATTAGACCGCTGGAGCGGACACCGGAGTGAAACGTCTGCGTGGAGGATTTGCGGCGGCCATCGCTGAATGCGCGGGTATGGGAACTTGTGCCGACACTGCGCAGACGGTGAAGATCTCGGAGTGTGTCCGCTATAACGGGTTCCACGTTCCTGTTGGGGGTGTCGACGACAATCCGGCGGGCCGCCATAGCAGAGCTCGCACTCTGCCCCTCCGTCGAAGTTGTGTGAGACTGCTGCCTTCCCCGTTCACGTGGAGAGAGTGGAACTGTGGAACGACGGTGCCGACGGCTGACGCAAAGGGTGGTGAAAGCACATTGCACGACGTCATCATGGTTGGAGAGCTGCAGCGCGGTGGCAACGCCTTGACAACTTTGGAGAGAAATGCGGTGGTTGCAGCTGTTTCGGCGGTCGCCATGCGATATCGCATCGAGAGAACGACAGCGCGCCTCAAGATGAGACTGTCGATTCGCAGGCAGTGTCAGCTCCTGCAACAAGTGATGGAGGCGCCCGACTGTGTGTCCATATCCGAATCCATTGTCCAGTTTTGTTGCGCCATCGCATCCGGTATGATCCCGTGGGCGACTCCGAGGTGGTGGATGAGGAGAAGGACGGGAGGCACATGGGAGGATCTCCGGAAGATGGACGACACGGCAGACGACTACTACAAGGAGAAGTTTAGGATGTCCCCGAGGGTGTTCCGGGAGATCGTGGAGGCGTTGTCCCCTCTTTTGCAGCGGAGGGTGACATTCTACAGGATACCGTTGATGTCGGATCACATCATCGCATATGCGTTGTATCGATGGGCGAGCGGGGAGACGTACGAGAGCAGCACATCGTCATTCGGCATAGGACGCGCATGAGGCTTGATCGCAGTCGAGGACGTCACCAGCGTGCTTCTGAGGGTGTACCGTGATAACATCGTCTGGCCTTCCGGGTTGCAGCGGGCGCTCGTTCTGTGCGCCTTCGAGGCCAAGGGTTTCCCCAACTGCTATGGATGCATAGACTGCACGCACATATATGTGGATAAACCGGCGAACGCACCGTCGGAGAACTACTTTGATCGAAAACATCGTTTCTCCGTTGTTGCGCAGGTGGTGGTGGACTTGGACTTGCTCATCAGGGACATTTTCGTCGGTTATCCGGGGAGCTGCCATGACATTCGTGTGCTTCAACTTTCCAGTATGTGGGCGCGTGCGGAGGAGGGGGATCTTTTCCGTGGACCAGCCGTGGTGCTGTCGTTCGGAGTGAAGACACACGGGTACTTTCTCGGCGATAACGGCTATCCTCCTCTGGAGTGGATTGTCGTGCCTTACGGGGGGACCGATCAATGCGCCGACGAAGAGAGGTTCGACAACAAGCAGAAGGTCGCTAGAGGAGCAATGGAGAGAGCTTTCGGGAGATTGAAGGGGATGTGGAGGTTGTTCCTCCGTACACACAAATCCAATATGGACACTCTCCCGCAACAGCTCCAAGCCGTGTGCATTTTGCACAACATCCTCCTCGATGCTGGCGTGGAATTCGACGAGAACTTGTTGTGGGAGGTGGACGCTAATGGTGTGCGCCGACGCGTGGATTTGGGGATCGATCACCCACCCCACCCCATCGAGGAAAACTTTAATCGGCCCCGTGCGCTGGCGTTGCGCGAAGCGTTGACGGAGCGCATGAAGCACTAGTGAACGAGCAAACTCCCTCGACGGCGGTAGCTACCGCATCGATGGGGGGGGGGGGGGGGGGGGGGGGACTGGTGATGTTCGGGAGGCGGCGGTTGTTGTTGTGTTCCGGCGGGAGTGTGGTGTGCTGGGAACAGTTGTGAAGGGTCCTTGCAGTTGTTTTGATTTGTTTACTTTACGGTCTTGTTCGTTGAGACATTTTTTTGTTTTCCTTTTACGATAATTTACTTGGCGTGACTTTTAATCATTTCGCGAACCTTTGAAGTGCAGACGACGGTGTCGTCTTTGTTGTGCTAGTTTTTGCATATCTGCATCATTGAATGCGCTTTCGTGTCATCTATGAGTTCTTTTGTTGCGTTAATCGGTTGATGCGTTTTTTTTATATCATTCAGTTCATGCATCAACAAAAGAGGCACCTTTTTATTTGTCCATGCGCATTTCTTGTGCCATTTAATTCAACCACGGACAAACCAAACAATGAATGAATCGATCAATTGATGAAGCGATTAGCCGATCAACCGATAAAGCATTACATGGATCAGTCGATCGGCCGACTGACCGACCAAACGTTAAAACAATCAACCAATCAATCAATCAACCAACCAATCAATCAATCAATCAATCAATCAATCAATCAATCAATCAATCGATCAACCAATCAATCAATCAATCAATCAATCAATCAATCAATCAATCAATCAATCAATCAATTAATCAATCAATCAATCAATCAATTAATCAACCAATCATTCGATGCAAAAACACAATTTCCAGAGATACGGAACGAAAATCATGCAAAATTTACCATTCGACACATGCCTTGGCTCCATGAAAGAAAATGAAAATACGCATACTCTTTTGTTGTGTTATCCCCGAAAAGGTGTCATTAATCACATGGCCTTCACTTAGCAGTGCATGCACTGCACAAATCCACAAGAAAATGAAAACGAAAACAACCATATCTGCGATCAGCTGCCACGAATATGCACGTCGGCGGACGACGTGGCACACTACACGACTAGGGCGAAACAAAACGGCCACATCAACTTGAAAGTGCCCCTCGAACGCCGACAACCAATCTCATTATTGCTCCTTCCACTTACAAAACCTTTCCGCCTGTCTCCCGCGACCGAAGCAAAACCGAGCGATCAGGTTTGTCCCCAACGCACCTATATCTACCTCTGTAGCAGCCAGGGACCGATGTGCAGTCGCGGATCCTCCTCAATTAAAGAGAGTTCGGAACTCACGGCCCATGTATCTTTAAACCACTGAAGGCCTGACTGAGAGAAGGATGATGAGAAAATTTTATGCCGCCAATCTGTCTGAATAGCTCGACGAAGGAGCTGCTTGATGGTCTGCCGGATCTGTTTGTTGGTTCAATCCTTACCGTTGAAGACCTGATTATTCCTGCTTTGCCAAATGACAACAAACATTACAGCCCGAGCTGACTGAGCTATGTATCCCCAACCCTTAGTGCTATGCAGCCCCTCTGGAACACCCCCCAATAGAGACCACTCTTTTGTCCATGGGAATACCGTGTTTGAAATCCGGTTCCAATGAGACTTCCACCAATTCCATATGCGAGCCGAGGCAGGACAATCCTACCATAAATGAACAGTGGATTCGAACGCTCATTCGCACCGACGGCAGGTAAGATCCAACTTCATTCCCCTTTCAGCCAGCCATATTGCAGAGGGAATAAAGACCAATGAGACTAGCCATAATAAGGAGGCCTGTCTTGCAATGGGTTTCAACTGAGCCCAACAAGCTGTTAGAGCTCTTTCTACTTCTTTTGGTGGAATAGGGAGGAGTAGGAGTCATCTTTCCCGTGCTATAACCTGGGGGTGTTTCAATGGTTGATTGATAGCATAACCAATTTTAAGAGTGTACTCTGCTAATGTAGTGTTTGTTCCTCTAGTTCCTCTTACTATCCATTTCCATAACGCTGGACCTAACTTCATCTGTACAAGTGGTGTTCCGTTTGTAAATAGCTTATTTGGTTGTGGAGTCTCAAAGACCCTGATTTGATGCAATGTTACTCTCACCGGTAGGGGGGAGGGTATCTTCCTCCAACTGAAGTATCCTGCCGTTCACTGACCAACATTCAAACTCTCTCAATCCATCTGGCGTAATATACAACAATTTCCAAACTTGTTCAGGAGTAGACAGTGTTGCAGAGAACCATGTACCCGACGGATCCACAACCCCGGGCGACATAATATTTTTCCACTGCGTTGGAATAGATGCTATTAGTACTCTTTTACGAGCTTTCATATACCAAATCTGACCCAACTTCTCCCTTAGCGTCTGGTTAGACAACTAATCCCCCAACACATTATCCCATAAGTCATGAATCCTCAGTACGCCCCTTTCCATCTATGTACGCCCGAAACTGGTGGGGGATGGGTCTGCTTTAAACCATTCCCCATATGGATGGGTTCTCAAATAGTGGTTGGGCTAGTACTTCGGCTTTGGAGGAGGGTTCTTTTCAAACACTCAGATGAATCTTTCTCCACGCTTTAATGATGGGAGCCGAAAATGGAGACAAGATCTTTTGACCTAACTAGATTTCATTCTTATGATAAGATCTGCTCAACAAGAAATACCTAATGAGGGGGAGAGGACAATAGACTAGCTTTCGCTATCTACTGACATAGCATACTTGTGTTCTGTATCATAGGATCCAGGATTCCCAGACCACCTTCAGTGCGTGGCTGTTACAACATTTCCCAGACAACTTTTGATATGAAAGACTCGTCATCCTCTGCATATGGTTTCCTAATAAATTTGGCTGCTCGTCTTTGGAAATAGAGTACAATAGCGAATATATCTCCCTAACCCTCCCAGCATACCACAGTAGGGCAAAAAGGGCCCTGTTGATCACCATCGCCCTCCCATAGATTGATAAATGAGGGACTTTTCCCCATGAGTTCAATCTTTGATTAGTCCTTTGAATCATAATACCGTTTTGTGCTTCAACACAGTTCAGTAGCGATATCTGGACCCCTAAGAATCGTTCAGAGTCATAATTTTGTATCCTTTTTATGACCCATTCGACTTCGAGGGAGAATTGGGCCGGCAAAAAATAGGCCGATTTATGCCAATTGATGGCCTCCTCCGATAGGCTTGCATATTCATCCAAACACGCCTTCAGGGCCCTCAAAGCATTCTCAGAGTTTTGGACTACAACAAACAAGTCATCCGCCAGGGCCTTAACCTTGAGCGGAGACGGACCTGCATTTAACCCAATAATCTGGATGTGAGCCCGAATATTATTAAGCACTCCTTCGATTTGAATTGCAAACAACAACGGAGTCAAGGGGCACCCTTGGCAGAGAGACCGAGTGAGCGAAAATTCTTCAAAGAGGTGTCCATTAATTATAAAAGTTGTCGTTGAAATTGTGTAGAGAGCAGTGACCCATTGACTGAAGTTCTACCAAATCCCATCCAATCCAGGGTCGAGAGGACATACGACCAATTCACCCGGTCGTAGGCTTTCTCTAAATCCAACAGGAGAACAACCATGTTCAACTGATCGTTTTGAATAACCTCCAGCATTTCTATTGCCGTAAAGATGTTATCGAAGATTGATCTTCCCTTGATGAAAGCCGCTTGGTCTGATTTAACCAATTGTGGGAGGTCGGGACCCAGTCGTCTAGCCAACGTTTTAGCCAAAATTTTATATGATACGTTCAGTACTGAGATAGGGTGTCAGTTACGGATCTCCAACCTGTCCCTTTTTTTTTAACAGGATAGAGATGATTCCTCGACATATGTTTGATGAGAGTCTACCGCCTGTTAAGATTTCATTGCATATTTCCACCAAGCTTTCCCCCACTACATCCCAGATGGCTAGATACAACTCTACCGGGAGGCCGTCATCCCCAGGGGCTTTTGCCTGCAGACATCGCCTTGAGGGCCTCATGGGCTTCCTGGGTCGAGATTGGTCGATCTAGATCCAGTTTTCCAGCTTGTGAAAGTCGGGATTCCATGTTTGCCCAGTGGTTTGAATCCTTGTGGAGATCGGATCTGTTGTTCCTCTGTAGGCGGGTAGTGAGAACATCCTTATAATAAAGAGCATCATACTCACACAAGTCCTTCAACTCTTTGGCAGTTGGGGCAACCTCATTGAACGGGTGCTTCAGCTCTTTCATTGGCACTACAAACCTACGAGGTAGCAACTTATGGAAAGACTCCTTTGTCATACGGTCGTAGACTGCTATACCTTTGATCCGCAGACGATCAGCCCATACGTCTAACTGTTTACTCTGTAGGTCGTCCCATTCAGTCAATAGTTTGTTCCTCTCTTTGCCGCAAACCCGTTCTGAGGCTGCGTGTTCAAGCGTACGCCCTTCGGCATATGTGATGCTTCGCTATAGTTTCCTAATTTTATTCGCTCGGTTGTATGCTAAAATTCTTGATAGTACAAACAACAAGTCAGAGAAAATTTGAGAGCCTGAGTTCCACCATTCCGCCCTAGTAGCATAATCTACTCGATTCTTTTCCCAGTCCCTCAAAAAATGCTTCATCCAATCCACCAACCCTTCCTCTTTCAAATTTCCAGCGTTAAATGGAAAAAGACCCTTATCCCACACTACTTCAATGGTGTGGATTGTTATTTGAACAGGCTTATGGCCTGACCTGGGGTGTGTGGACTCTGAGACCTCTCCAACGACCTCCTAGAGATTGGTTGAGATCAGAAAGTAGTCGAGCCTTCTCATAGTGTAACCTGAGTTTTCACGTTGGTTAGAAAACCATGTGAAGCCTAGAGAATCAGGGTGTGTTAGGCGGTAGGGATCCACCAGTTCTAACTCTTCCATCAGTGAGGTCAGCGACAACTTATCTTCATTACCATTTTCTACAGATTTGACGAAATGATGTTTTTTGTTTCAATTTGTTGCATATTTCTTGTGCAATCAAAGAAGCACTTCTTGTTGAGATATCGAGTGACGTGTTACAATCACCCGCTAGGACCAGTTTATCTCCGGACAGGATGATAGTTAGAAGATCTTGAAAAAAATACGATCGCGATTTTTTCTCGACCGATACATAACGTAAGACTACCACCCAATAACAACCATCTAGATAAAACTTCACCCAAGCCCATCTTCCCCATCGGTCGGCATAAAAATCTACTACTTCGATCTCCGCTTTTCTATGGATTATAATAGCTACACCACCTTTCGATCCTACTGCTGGAGCCGTAATTCTGGGTCGTCCCACCAATTCGTTAGTGACAAGACCTTTTCTTCCAATAATTTAGTTTCTTGGATACACATAATCTGAATATTCTGATCGAAAATCCATGACTTCACTCTATCTCTTTTGTGTCTGCCCGATGTATCACCTAACCCCCTAACATTCCATGTACTGATTCTAATTTTGCCCATTCATTCTGGATCCTCTTATCGTCGTTTCGATA